AGGGTGGACTTTGGACACTCTCCTTACATTTGTTCTTCCCTACTGAAAACCTTAAGTTTAGAAATTCTTAAGTCAATATATATTTTGTGCCAAAAAGCTATGATGAGATTTTAATGCTCACACCCAAAAGGAAAGAAACATCAGGAGAAACAGTGACAAGCCTTCCGCAGTAGCCTAACCTCTGTTCCCATGTATGTTCCATTATATTTCTGTGTCCACACATCACACACACACACATACTCATTTTGGGGCATTCTCATTTCAAGTTTTTCAACCAGTGGTCTTTCTTAAAGAGATCAGACTATTCAGCTTAAAGGACAACAGATAGTGTTCATCGTATAACTTATTTGTATTCTGATAATTCTGCTTATGAGCTGCAGGAGCTCATAGTCAGGAATCTGACTTCAAAGAAAAATCTGCCCCTTTTAATGGATTTTTTTTAAGCTCTGTGTAATTGCAGAGAACACATTTTCAAAAGCAAAAAGCATACCTGCATCTCTTGTGAAGCACTACCTCTAAATTACCAGTAACCAGAACAACTTACATAATACTGCTCACTTAAAGTAGGAGAAACCGTAATAGGCTTTGAAATGTGGCTACTTATATTAGGTGTTCCTTGATATTTAATTGAGGCCCAAAAGGTATTCCGTTTTAGTAACCAGAAAAGCAGGCCCATTCATGCTATACACTGGTTCTTGCTGTTACTATATGCATTGATACAGCTACAGTTTAACAATTCCTTATGTTGTTATAAGGACTGATTCAAACCTTGTTTTAAAAAATAATTAAACATTTTTGGGGTTCGCCTGAGCTTGGGTCTGCTTTCTCGCATTTCTCTTTAAAGCTGAAAAGACAAGACAAACTGTGGACTAGACTGTACCGCAGCAAGTTGTGAGGGCCAAGCTGCATGGGGCTAAAGCTCTCTGTAGCTCTAGGCCTGGGAGGTGGCACCAGAGATAGCTAGTTAATGGGTGTGGAGGGAAGCCTGGTGTGAGTCCTGTGATTGACTTGAAGGAGTAAAATTCTCACCCGTTCTTTGTGGTTTTTTTCATAGGCCTTACTTACCTTTGAACTTTGAGGGCATGGTTCTCCACTAACTTCTCTGTGTTTAGAGGGAGTATGAAATCTTTCCAAATCAGGTCACAAGCTTTCAAGTCTTTGGTCTTTTCTAACCTCTCTTTAACATACAGTAAGTAGCCCCTTAGGTGCCACCAGATAAATCACTGTACTTGACAGGGGCTGAAAAGACAAAAATTGTGGCTGTGAACATTTTGACTCAGGGCTGACAAGTGAAAAATGGAAATGAAAGGGTACAGAAATTAGTATTATGCAGGTCTCTAGTTTTAGTATGGTTAAAAATCTGTTGTACTTAATTATTTCCAAACAGTTGTTCTTGCTTTGGATGTGACTTCAACGATAGGTATAAAAGGCACAAGACAGTGAGAAAATAAATGGGATTCATAATGTTTTCCTTTTGAACTTAGAGTTGCACTTTTTTGCTGGCTTTCTGCTTGGCAAGTAGAGATTTAAACAACTTATAAACAGAGCAATCTAGTGGGAAAAACAATGCCTCACATACCTTGGCTGATAAATGAGTGAAGGGACACAGATGCTAATGTTTTCAGCCAAGTAGCAGTTGCATTAGTCCAGGACTGAAATGTGTTGGTGCAGCTGTATGGGAAGCGTTCAGTGATGCTTTCCCAAGGTCTGTCTGCTGTGCAGAGAGAAGTTTCTGTGAACAGTATTGACTCTTTCCATGTACATAACTAACTTAAAGCACAATAAAAGCATTTAGAGAAAGCCACTAGTACTTTTCCAAGACTGCCTTTCTCTCTACAGACATACTCAAGTGTTTAATGGTTTTTCTAACACGTAATGAAAATGCATTCATGTGGAATAAAATTATTCTGAGATCATACAGGGAAAAAAAATGAATTCAATGGAGGCCATATATTCAGGATGGAAGTGTTGCAAAAATACTGGTATCAGCAATTTTTATTTAAAAAAAGGAAAACCTTTTATTCTGCCCTTGTAAATAGATTAGTGGTTTGCCTCACACCACTTTTCACAGATAAGTAAGCTAAGTACTGTGCTTCTAGTTCTGCCCAGTTATTTCTTTCATAAAGATTAGATTTCTTAGGGTTTTTTTTTTTAGCGTTGTTATTTGGTGAAGCTAAATAGATTATCCTCAAAATGCACGTCAGAAAATGTATCATGCATCAAACTAGTGTTCAGCTTGTCATCTCTTGTTTTAAAGACAACCTCCCTGAGAGAGAATTCCTAAGGTAAGTTGAGATATGTCATCCTTGGAGTACAGCCTTTAGAATTCTGTGCTATGCCCCTGACTTGCTTAAAAAATAAAGAATAACGTCTTACTGTGAGGGAGGAAAGAGAGAGAAAATACGTATAACATATGTTTCTGTGGACTAGCCTGGGTAATAATGACATCGCATATTGCTGCTTAAGGTATTTAATTCCATATCAATGCATACATTGCTAACCTGCATCATGAAAAATTAGTGTTAATTAGCTGAAAACAGTACTGTTAACAATCAAAGCACAATTCTACGTTGTTAGTCACTGAATTCTACATGAAAGCACAAAGAACAGGTCTCCTGGTAGTCCCAGCCATGAGTGTGACAGCAAGAGAGTTTCCTTAAAATGATCCAGTCTTGCTTGTGTTCTCCCTGGAAGAATCCAGCTGATTGATTAGCACCCTTAACATGGGCCTCAAGACTTGCCAGAGACTGGCAAACTCTCCCATCCATGTATGTCTCGCTTAGCGCTGCCCTTCGTCCATGCTTGTTGACCCTGATTTCTGATGTCTTAGAATCACTGTCTATACCCCTAGGAACGTAGGGTGAACTCCATCTTGATTCTGTCAAGAAAGTACTGAGACGTGACTAGTAAATGATTTAGGAAGTGACCTGGGGCTCTGATGTCATAACTTGAGGGAAAGCATATCATAGTTTTCAGACCCTGGACGGAGAGTTGCAAGGTAAATGGAAAAGGGTGGTTGGTGGATAGAGTTCAGAAATGGAAGACACCCACCTGTAAACCAGGGGCAGGACATGCAGCACAGCTGAAGATTGATCCTGTCCAAGGTGGATAAGGCACAAAAGCAGATTCCCTGCTACAACAACTATCCTGACCACTCTTTAATTACCCTGCTTGAAGCATTTAACTAATAAGTGAGTCTCTTCTCTGTTATAGAAGCTGCTATCTCTTCTCTTCAGCTAGTTGATCTTTGGAGGTCCATTACCATTCTGCGGTCACAAGCGGCCAGTTTAAGACACTTCTGCCACTAGAAGGTGGGCTTTGTCCCCTTTGCTTCCCTGTCTGTCCCTGATGCAGCCTAGCTGGAACACAGCATCTGACTGGGGAGGACAGGTCACAGCAATGGAGAGCTGTGTGCTGCTGTGAGTTCTTGTTGCAAAAGGGTGTATAAGGCAAGGTGGCCTAGGGGGATTTCTACAGTTTGAGCAAGCAACTAGCACAGTGAGGTGCTATTTTTATTACTTGCTTTATGCAGTGTAATATATACCGTATGTGAAGGTGACTTGTTAACAAGGGCTGCAGCTGACAAGCACTGGACCATTCCTTATACAGCCAAATATGGCCAACCAAATCCAGCCTCCTGCTCATTTCAGTCTCAGAAGTTTTCACACCAGCTTGCTTGTTCTACGTCAAGAAATGCTGCTACTCACTGTGGAGTTAATATGTCCTCTAACCTGACTTATTTAGCTTACTTAGCTTGTCATGATGCTCATATTCCCTGTCACTTACTTTTAAAAAAAACAACCATCTGTCATTCCTTCGATAAGGTCTGGGACTCTTAACATCTACCTATGGCGGTTTGCTGTCATGCAGTCTTGTTGGTTTGTATCGGTTAAGGAAAAGATCACAGGTACTATATAGATTCTTCCATAAAAGACCAGCATTGGCCTGGTCTCAAAGACTAGCACAAACTTAGAGAGAGTAGACAAAAAGCCTTCCACCGAGCCGAGCTTTCGCTGAACTTCTCTCTGCTGCCACTATAACTTCCTTCTGTGGAGAGAGAGAATAAAGGTTAGCAAAATGCAACTGCGAGTGCATGCTTGCCTTAAGCTTCCCTAAGAGAAACCAGATTTTGTCCATATCATTAGTGTCATACAAAAAATGTGATGACAACGAAGGGGAGAGCAAACCACCTCACTGGAACAGCTGCTAACAAAACAATCTTGGCAAAAAGACTTTTTATTTGGCAAAGTAGAAAAAGCTGGAACCAGTCAAATAAATCTCTTGCCAATGTAAACTCTTAGGGGTAAGATTAATACAGATAAGACTGGAGGGTGGACTGGATTGGTGCCTTAGCAAAGGGACACGATTACTTGGAAAACTGCCTCACATGCGCTCATGAAGAAATCATCAGTGATGTCTTTGTTTCATGTGTTGAAAAATGAAAAACTGAACCTTAACCTAGCTTAGAAATATTTGCATTTCCAGGTGTTTCTCCAGTGCGTGTTTTAATGGCAAGAGGTCAAACACCGTTTCTTGAAGAGCAGTCATACTTCCCCTCAGCCTGGTACTGAGGCTCTCTCACACAGGTATCTCAGAGTAAGTACTAACACTGGAGTCCATTGAGTTGAACAAGCACTAAGCAACTTTCAAGCTGAAAGAAATGAGAGATTCCTTACTACATTATAAAAAAGTAGGGATTGACTGTTGATAATGATAAGGGACTTCTGAGGGTAGCAAGGAAAAACAGGTACACAAAGACATCCAAACTTATTCAGGTAGAAACCAGGCCTTTTTATGCTTTGAAAGACTTGGCAAGTGAACACTCTTTGGAAGAGTGTCCAATGAACGCTCTTCAGCGGAAGTGACACTAGGAAGCAAGCCCGTGCATAATATTAACTGAGGGAGATGGTTAGTGCCTGGTTTACACCATAGCTGAGCACGACCTTGGCATACAGGTTGGTTAGAACAGGTAAAGCAAGGGGACTGAGTTGGCACCTGTACGTGATTTACTGAGAGAAACTGTTAAGTTGTTTAGATTTCAGGCCATTTCAAAGTGATCTCTTTCAATCCAGGTGTCAGGTACCAAAATGTAGACAATTCTATAGTTCATCAACCTATGAAATGGTTTTAATTATCAGTTCAAAGAGTGACTTAAAGGGAAACTTGATTAACTATGTATAGCAAAAGAAACAGGGTATGTAAGCTGTTGACTAGTAGATGCAAGTGAGAGAAAAAGATGTCAGGAATCAAAAAGCAGCAGTTATTTTTCTCACCTTTCTTTCAGATTTTACAGTGATAACAGAACTCCCAAATCTTGATTGTTCCTGTAAAATAAAGTTGCTTGTTATAATATTAGTGATTTTTAAAGTGCGACTTCTTCCTTTCTAGGAGTCAGCCGTTTGTCTTCTGGTTACTCACCTCAGGAGAAATCAGGACATATTGTGCCTGGAGGGGGGGGAAGAAAGAAGAAAAAGTAAAGCGGTCAAAAGAACCACATTGCTTACAGCGTAGAAGCCTAAAGCAGTAACCCTGGTTCCTAAACAGCAAACTAATTCAAGAACAAACAGAAGGAGGCAAATTACACAGGTTCAGAAAGATTACACAGGTTTCAGAAAGAAAAACCTTCAGTTTTCTGAAACCGAATCTGAACATGTCAGCTCTTTTCACTGGATGTAATCAGTTAGCTGTCATTATGCCCTCATCTCCTGATGTTACTTTTATGTTTTCTTACCCAGTCCTCAGGACAGGGAGATATCCATGATTTGCAACGATCTGTCACATTCCCTGAAATTGTCTGGTTTCCACTGTAAATGTAAACACGGCCAGCTGCCCCACCAAACAGTACTGTGGTGATATCATTAGTTCGCAGTGGGGATGTCACAATCATTTCATCTGCAAATATTTATTACAGGACAACATAAGACACCAGGAGTGAAATAACGCTAAACCAAAACACAAAAGAGTTGACATTTACATACCTCTAGATGTCACAATTCCTATTAATGACTGTAGTTAAAACGTCTCAATTTGTGCCTAAATTGTTGCGGGTTTTAGGGGGTGCCTCCCTGCAAGGCACCTTGGAATACTTTTACAAGTCAACTGACAAAGCCGACTGCGTTTAGTGCTTACATGAATATGTAGGTGACCAGTCTTCCCACTGCCAAAAGTAAAACATGCCATGCCATCCCTGTAATCTAGCTTCACTAAGCTGTACCTAGTCCGTCGTTGTCCAGGTCACTTAAATATACATCTCCTCCAAAGCGAGAAAACCTCCTGTCCCCACTGAAAGTGCTGAGCAAAGAAGGCTTGGCACTGTCTGTCAGATCATACATCAGAGCCGATCCAGCCTGGTGCAGCACTGAGGATATAAACGAAATCCTAGACAGGCTGTCTGAAAAAAAACAGAGTAATAGAAGGAGAGCATCAGATATAGGAACTCAGGCTTAGTACTTGCAATGGATTGACAGCAGATAATACTGGAATTACGTAACATGAACAAAATTAATATTTATGAAACAAGATCCAAGGTTATATGACAGTAACTCAAATTAGCATAAAAACACAATCTCTTAATAGTAGCTGGGGAAAAATGCACATAAGTTAAAGGAGAGACACCAGAGTTGAATAGTTTGACTTATGTAATTCCTTACTGCCTAATTCTATAGTAAAGGCGAAATACTGTGTCATTTAATTCCAAGAAATATGCAGCATACTAGCAAATCATTGATACATAAATAATGCAGGGTAATAAAGCTGTTAATAGAAGCTAATCCCAAGAAGAAAAAAGAAAGCATTGAAGTTGAAGCTCTGTAGTACAGAAGACTGAAAAATGTAAGGTATCTGTAGGTAATCACAAGAAGAACGTCACAGTGATTATTTCTAAATTAAAAAAAAAAAAAGGCTATTAGGCTATTAAAAGGTCCTTTTCTAACTTTTATCTTTGTTTCTGCCCTCCATTCATGTATTTCAGAAACAGACAACCCAAAGCAGAAGTAGTTTCCAGTTTCCAGAATGACATACCTGTGGTAGGTGCTCCCACCACCAAAACAGTCCTTGTGATCCCAGCCACAGACACCACACCACTGGTGAGAGACATACCCATTCTGCCCATTTCCTGTTAGATTTTAAAACACCTATGTCATTTCCACAGAATGGCACTTGATTTCAATCATTCACAAGGTTCCACATTACCGAAGGAGCTCTACCTTGTCTCCAGTTACTGCAAACCAGCGTTCTGTGCTTGGTGGATTATAGCCATACACCTTCCCAACACTCTGTCTGACATCCGATGAGAAGGGGCTGCAGCTTGGATTAGAATGTAAAATACGTTGGTATATATCAACACACATATTTTACAGATTCAGCCAGCATTTCTTATCTTAAAATATTTTCTCTTTTTAGCTTAGCATAATACTGGCTGCCAAAAGTCCTAGAAATCTATTTTAGTAATTCTCATTCTTATTCTAACTAGATAAAAGACATTGAGGGCACTGACTGTCTTTCCATTTCCCCATCAACCAATACATTTTTGAGTTAGGTTTGCTGTTAAAAATACTATCTCAAAGTAAGTGGTTACTATAGAGTTATTTTAGGCATGCTCACTGTTAGCATTTTTGTGCTCCCTCCCCCCAGGAAAACCCCACAAATTCTTATATGCCTCTAAATAACAAAGATCCTCTATAAACACATGAACAGGGGTAAGAGGCTAAAAATGGTAATTAATTCTAAGCAGGACCAAAGAGGAATCTTTCTAAAAAGCAGGAAGTCTAATCTACTACAAGCCTTAAGTAGTGTAGGAGAAGTTGGGCAGGATGGAGAAAAAGAAAGCAGTTGTATAAAACACACCCAGCACAACTCTTCCATGTAGGGCTACCAATCAGCAGTAATGTTATGTTCTCCAAACGACAGCTGTCAAGTGAAAATCCAAACCAAGCGTAGTTTTTTTCCCCCTTCACCATCCAGTTGGCATCCTCTACTGAGAGGAGACCTGACAGAGCAGAAGAATACAAATTAAATCTGGCTGTACCCTGGCATACAAAAATCTGTTAGCAATCTCCAAAACCATCCACCCTTTTGTTCCATGAACAGAAGTTTCTCTAAGTAAAGCTATGCTGTCCATGATATGGAATCAGTTATTGCTAACTTTAATGTAGGCATAGTAAAACAATGCTCAATATGCAGCCGTACTGGCTGGTGAAAGCCTTTACTCAGCGCAGCTGGCTTCTGAATCATTGCAAGTCTACAGGAAGCTTTCATCTTCTAGAAGCAAATACACAAAAGCTATCAGACAAGCCCGCCCTAAATTGATGAGTTCTTCTAAGTGACAGGACAAGACTGAAACCGTTTATCAGAACTTGTAATTCTTCAAGGGAAGAGGGAAGGGATTTCAAATAATCCTGGCTTTAGTTCAAACCATTGATTCTGCATTTTGATTTTGCAAAGATGTCAGTCAGCAGCGTTTTGAAATGTAAAAAACATTTCCCTTGTGTTTTCTAATTTTCTGTGAGGTGGAATAAGGTGAAAAAAATAGAGTTACTCGAAATCTCAATTATTCTAATGAGGCTTTGCATAGCTGCGTGTCCTTTCCCACCCCCATTAACTTTATTTAGCTTTGCCGGGTGCATTTCCTCCCTCTTTCACAACAATCCTCATCACCTGTAACTACTAGCTGTATTCACTTGTAGCATTCCCCTTTGGCCACAAGAAGGAGCTCCTGCAAAGATGACAGAAATTCAGGGTGCATTGCAAGCTTCCAAGAAAGACTAGTCAGCCCTTTCAGTATCACCCATATGCAGCTGAACCCATTGCTTCTTTACTTTCATATAGTCATCTATTTAGTTTTTGTAGTTTTGCTCAAGGACCAAACAGCTCTTGCAAGTGATTTTAACAAAACTGTTCACCTAATATACTAAACATCTGGGTTTAAATTCTTAGCAGGAAGATTTCACTACCTATATTCCTCTGATACAGTTCTATTGACAATAAAATTTCACTAACTAGAATCAATGACCATATTATTAAACAGCAGGAGTAATAGCTTAGGATATTGACAGTAGTATAGGAAAAAGTAGTTCCTTATTACATAAGACACTAGCATTTCTAGAAGTACCTTTATTAGTCAGATATCAAGCTAAATTCCTCAGAAATAAGGAAAAATTTAAAGCTTTCTTCATCTGACTCATCAGAAATTTATTAAAGATTAAGCTTTTAATGACATTTCTTTCAATGAACTTTGAGAAGAACTACTGAAGGTAAACCATTCAAGAACCTGAGACAGCTGTTCAGTTTTTCATGACAGAGAATTTAAATTAAAACAAAAAGACACCAAGAAAGTCTCTATATAACAGACTCCCATTCCTAGGGGACACTTTAACCTCACTGACATCTGCTGAAAGAGCTACCTGGCAAGACCCACGCAGGCAAGAAGACTTCTGGAGGGTGCCAGGGATAACTTCTTGATAGAGGTTCTGGATGGACCAACCAGGGGTGGCACACAGCTGATCTGCTATTCACTAAAGAACAGAACTTGCTGGGGATGTGGTAGTCCGTGGCAGCCTGGACTGAGGTGGCCGTGAAATAGGGGACTTCAAGGTTCTGGTGGGAGTAAGAAAAGCAAATGGCAGGGTAACAGATCCTGGACTTTCAACACAGCAAAGATGCTGATAAACTGTGGCAAGTTCAGCCTAGGGACACCAAGACGGTTGGGGCTGGAGCACTTGCCCTGTGAGAAGAAGCTAAGGGAACGGAGCTTGTTCAGCCTGGAGAAGAGACAGCTTTGAGATGACCTAACAGCAGCCTGCCAGTACCTGTGAAGAAGTTATCAAGAAAACGGAGCCATGCTTTTTACAGTGTACTGAGGTACTCATTCTCTGTGTGTCTCAGTCTTCACCACACATGGAGAGAGGACAAGAGATAATAAGCGTAAGCTGAAAAAAGAGAGGTTCATGCTGACTATGAGGAGATAATTTTCTCCCCATGCGGACAGCCACGCAGTTGAGCAGGGGCCCAGCGAGGCTCTGCAGTCTCCATCCTTGGAGGTTTTCAAGACCTGAACAGATAAAGCCCTGAGTAAACTCATCTGACCTTCATAACTGTATGCCGTTATTTCAGACCCCCTTAGGTCCCTTTCCACCTGAATTATCCTATGATTAATTATGAACAAAAGAATAGTTGTATAAGATAAGGGAGGGTTAACTTATTCAGTAGGTGTTACCTTGGCCACTTCTGTTGAAATAAGAGTAGAATGCAACCACAAATCCTCTCTGCTGCCCACCACCGGCTGCGTATGGAGAGCCAACAACCAGGTCAGCATTTCCATCCCCATCGACATCAGCTGCCAGGAGGGACCAACCAAGGTTACAGTAGGAATACTGCAAGAAACGGTTAGTTCAAGCGTGAAAAGGAATTTAAACCACCAACTCTGAAAATACAGCAATTTACTTCTGAAGACCTAATTTGGTCTATTTCTGATCAAACTAGCTTCTCACACTCTCATTTTAGTTGTGTTCACTTTTAGAGGGCTGGGCATCCTTTTGTTCACCCTGTTCCCTCCTCTGCCCTGGAGCACAGAAGGCTTTCCCCCATACAAACAACCTAAACAACCTGTACCTGCTTGCACCATCCCCAATGACCCATTTATATTCCCTTCCAATTAAAAGTCTGCTTTTAACATTTGTTCTTTAAGCCCACAGCCCCATCCCCCTTCCCCTTTACCTCATTTCCTGCTTATGCAGCCCTGTGTTAGCCTAATCAATATACCTGACAAGTTAGGGTAATATTTGGTTGAGATGCCAAGCCTCTTCCCTCAGTGCCAAAGTACACGTATACAGCACCCTAAAAAGCAGGAAAAGCAAATACAGCATGAGAGCATCTCCTTGCCAGGACCGAGTACGAAATCCAAGACAAAGCACAAGTGAGCGATACAACTCTCCAAAAACTATTAACAGAACCACATTTTTCCTATCAGAGTCTTCCCATAGTATTGCCTTTTCCACCCCAAGCCTAGAAATACCCATGCTGTAACAGATAGTGTTATCACCAGGCAACAAACTAGACTTATGAAACAAGAATGTCACTGTGCTCCTTTCAGCTGAGAATTACTTTTTCATCATACGTTGGATAAGGAGCAAAGACAGTATACGGTGCATTACCTTCATTACATAAGCATTCGGGTGGCTCAAATTTTGATAACAATTACTTAATGCAACAGCACAGGGTGCCAGTCACAGCAGAAGCACGCAATTTTCCAACCTAGTGGGTCTACATAGAAGCATTTGAGTTCCTATTTAGGCAGCTAAGTTAGAAGGAAATTCTAAAGAGCTTCAAGCTTAATGGAAGTGGTTTAAAGTGACACATTTTGCCTCTCAATTAGGATGGGTTGAGAACACTCAGACACCACTACATGGGCTCATCTGGTAGGCAGCAACTCATTAAGGCTCTGTAACTTGATTATGTCAGCATGTGTGTCTGAGTCCCTATCACGTTTTAGATATCATCTGTTGGCCTTTGACAGGAGATGGCAAAGCTCACTGACCCAGGAGGTCCCTTCCAGACTCTTTGTTCCTAAATAAAAGTGGTGCACTTGTATTTCATGAAAGGTTTCTTATGCTTCCAGCATATCAGTACTGCAAAGTTGCCATCTGATTTGGAATCTCTATATGGAAAAAAGCCACTAAGATACAGATAGCTGTCGTTGATCTAGTAAAAGTACCCAAAGGTTATAAATCTTTCTGTTTATATCATAATGTCGCCCTGAGTAAAAACAGAAATTCCTTCTCTCATTTCAGTATTCTACATAACATGTATCAATAAAAACAATCCTGCTTGTGAAAAAAAATAGGGTCTTACTTTGTAAGTGAGAAACTGAGATCCTACAGAAGGTGCTCCAACTGCCAGATCTGGCACTCCATCCTCATTGAAGTCCAGGACTGCCAAGGCAGAACCAAACCTGCCTGAAGGCTAAGAGAAGAGGGATTGCTCTCATGAAAATAACAGATGTTTTAAAGACACCCCCATCAAAACCTAAGGGACACTTGCAGTCATAGCGCAGGGAAGAAGTGGAAGTAAAGATGACTGAAATCCATCTCAAAAATTCTAAAGATTTTCTTAGCATCATTGCTCTCCCAAGTAATAACAGTCATACTAACATACAAAGTGGGAGTAGACTGTTCTGTCTGAGGATGTGGGGGTGTTAAAATATAAGATAATTGAACACAACATGCCACTGCTGTGTTATTTCTTCTTCTCGGCCTAATGCACCATCGATGTCATGCTTATGATCTGTGCTGTTAAGAGCATTATAACTGTGAACTACCAAAACACTCTCCTAAAGAGTGCAGCTGTTACTCCACAGTTTGTAATCACGGAAACAGATTAAAAGGAAATGTATCTAATATCTCTCTATTCTCCTCTTTGTGAATAAAGACGTTTTCTACAGAGGATCATCTTTATTACTCAACAAGATCATCTGATGCTGCTTCTCAGTTACAAGCCAATCACCATCTTGTCAAATCACATCTTTCTCTTTTTGTGTGTTTTTTTAATAATGTGTACTCTTAGTAAAGACAAACAATGGTTTTTCCAGAAGTCACCACTTAGTCAAAAACACAGCTTCAGCAGAATTGCATCTCACATGAACTAGTTTTAGATGAAAAAGGAGGGGAAAGTCACATCATTTGCTTATATACAAGGAACCAAACCAGCTATATTGTCATTTAAGGAGACTACTTCAGTCTCAGTCAAGGGTCTATTGTGTTATAATACTCATTTATCTGTCACAGGGAAAAAAGTAAACCTACAGGTCACCGTTGCTTTAATTGTTCCCGTGACTTCAGTAACAGTTGTTTTTCTTGAAACGCACGCGATATCCTTTGACCAGGAGGTGCATTTCAAGAATAACCCTCACACATGTTAATGACACTATTGCTCAGTGAAAAATTTACCACATATTCAGGCAAAAAATTTTAAGTGAGAAATACCTGACTTGACCCCTCACCTGATGACCCTCTAGTATTTGGTCTGCTTTCCCATCTAGATCCATGTCCTCCGGAGGCAAACCTGACTCATTGCCATAGACTATATATACCCGTCCTATCTGAACATGGCCCAATGTGCTGTACCCTGGTGCTCCAACCACCAGATCTTCATATCCATCCTGGTTTAGGTCAGCTGAGATCATTGCCCTGTATATCAAGGGAGTCAATGAAATCATAGCATTAGGTGCCAGATTACCACACGATTAGCAAAAAATAAGTACTTCTACTTCTTTCAGGCAAGCCAAGACCTGCCTTTCCCCACCTATTTTTCTAAGGATATATACATCATTTTTCATATTATATAACTGAATGTTGTTCTCTTGAACTAAATAAAATCAGAGCTTGAAGGTTCCGTTTCCATTAATCCAGCTCAGATTGTGTCACCATCTGCCACAGGTAAGGACAGAATCCCTCTGGAAAGGAGAGAATATGCCTCATTCTGTGTGCTGAATCCATCCTTGAATTCCCTACTAATCTTCTAGCGCTTCCAAGAGCAATCAGCAGACATCATCAGCAATCAACCCAGGATAGACAATTAATTTCATGCGACCATCAAGCAATAATCAAAAAAAGGTAACAATGTTCCTACGTTGTTAAGAACTAGAGCTCAAGTTGTTTTTATTTTTTGTTCCTTCTTTTCTGAGTTCCATCACACGCAGCACAATGATCTCCTTCACTAAGGAGGAAAGTGACAAAAGATGATAGGACAACTTTTTCAAAGAATGAAGTTATCTGACTAGATTTCACACCTGAACGGAATTTTTGCTCTGGATGTAATTTTAGTCAGTACTGACACAGTGAGGCTTATACCAAAGTCTGAAAGAAAAAAGGCCCTGTGCGTCAGCTGGTAGTTCTGGCTAGCCAATCTAAGCTACTCAGCCAGATCTGTACCACTAATTGATTTGGGCTGTTACCCTTAAAGAGTATCCAAAGAACAAAAAATAATAGTTGGGTAGCTGCTCAAAGTTTTCAGAAACGAGGAAGGAGATTAGACAAAAAATTACCAACCATCCAAGTCTAGCATAAGGTGAAGTCAAAAAATATGATGCTGCTGGCTTAGAGATGAGCTTAGAAGACTGTTGATGTGCAGCTGCTAACACTCTCCAGACGTTTGCTGCAAAAGCCTTGTTTATGAAGCGGAGGGAATTCTGAAACAAAAATAATAAAGAGGCACAAGCATAGTTAAAACACAGGGTGAAACTCCAGCACAGTATCGACCGCATCAAAAGCCAAGTCACCATCAGTGGAAATCTTCACATTGATCTAAGTGGACTCTGACTCAGGTCAGATGCACCATTTCCAAAAGAGACAGAAATCTCTACGCTCTAAATGGAGCATTACTGACTAATTGTTCACTGCTCTACTTTGCTGGGACTTCTTAATTCCCAAAAGTGACCAGATGATTCTGTGAAGTGTAAATACAGAAGGTATATTCTGTCATTTTTGGTACTGCAAGAAGCACTCTCACCTCTCTACAAAATGAGCAAAATAAAATAATTTAGTATTCACGATGTACCTGTAAGCACACAGATTAACAATTACGGCTGTTAGCATCTCTGCAAAACAAAGATGCTGCTATTCACATGAAGCGACCCTGCTCCATCATGCAGTATCCCAGACGAAAATCAAAATTTATATACAAAGTTTATATACAAAGTTGAATTTTACCTGACACATCTGTCACTTTTCACTTACTGTTGCCCAAGAGTGTACATTGAAGTGAACTCCTCTCTCTGTGTACTTTATATTCTTTGTAATTGTTTCTGTATGCGAAGAAGTGGTATTCTTGTAGGGTTCATTTTTGGATTGCTTACTTCTGTAAAGATAAAGGAGGCAGTAATAACAACTAATGCAACTGAATTAATGGGTCAAGTGCTTTATGACAAAACTAAGAAAAGCAAACAGCTATATTGCACACATTGAAACGGCCATTGCTCCCATATATAAAGTGAGTTATCAAGAGATAGCAGTGGAGCCCCAATAAAGTCATGGGATTTATGGTTAGCTAAAACTTGGTAAGTATCCAGACATTTATAAAATCTAGTATCATCAGCATCATTTTTGGGAGTGTTCTGTTCACCAGCAATATTCTTGGAGCACTGAAGACGTGGAAGAAAAAAGAAAATTAATCTTCTCGAATACAAAATTACTCATCTTGCATGCCTGTCTCTTGAATTCATGCACTGAAATTATTTTCAAATCAGAAATACGAAAAACTCCTTTAAGAGCTATTAAAAAACAAGTAATTAACTTTTACTCCCTCCCTCAAAAAGAAGAAACTCTAACTTGTTCGCATCCTAACATTCTATCACTTCACACTCATTTCTGAAATTTCCTGCATTTCCCCAGAATTACCCTTTCCCAACACATAAATCCATTACCATCACACATTGGCCAGAACTCTGCTCCAGTTTATAACCCTTGCAACTCTACTGACTTTGGTGAAGTGTTGGTCTAAGATGCACATCTGAGAACACTTTTGGCCAAGGTAAAAATGTGAAGCTAAACGCTCTTCTCTCACAGTATGAAAGAAACAGAATACAGGCAATTAGGCTCCCCACCCTGAGGCTTCCCTCACAACATGAGATTTCATAACCACATTTACCCCCACAGCTCCTGTTACTGCTGTTGTTTTCATCTGTGCATGGAGAGCGTTTCAGCTTTCAGTAAGAGTAAAAACGTTTGTAAGAAAATAGAAGACAGACCTTAAAGAAATTCTCTTCACTTTCATGTCCTCTCTTTTTCTCAACATACCCATTTAAGAGTATGCACTGCTGTCTCTGACAACGGGATTTTTATCGCTTGTCATTATCATTCTCCTTTCCCATCACTCTCTCCCTGTGGTTCCACGCTTCCCCTACATTATCTCAATCTCACTGAAATAAAAGCCGCAAACTGAACCACTAATGCTTATAACAGAAAGGCTAAGAAAAGTCTGAATCTCTGTTACTTAAACAGATTGCAGAGATCTTGAGGTTTCATTAATTACCCACTGAAAAATTCTCGGCCAACAAGCACAATCCTTAAATTGCAGCCTTCAAGTGGAGGAGAGGAACCAACACGATCAAAATATAACCTACGCTCTCTCTACAGGCTAAACAGAACTCTTTGCATTTTCAGTTCAGTACAAATTAGATTGATTCACCAATATCAGCAACAGAGACTTTCTGAGGAAGAGAGGAAAACAGCCATGGAAAATGTGAGCTAGAGGAACACATACACTTAAGCTGAGTTCTATACCGCTGTATGTAAAGGAGGAGAGAAGGTAGCTACGGTAAGTGTAATTATGAATCAGTAGTTTCATGATCAGCAGAACAAAAAGTTACAATCAAATAAAGAGTGCAGAGCTTGCACTTCAGGTGCTAGACAAGTATTCTTATCCCTAGGCCAGAAGGCAAAAGTCTTTCCCAGGCTCTGTACAGTTCCCCAGCACAGAGCTTGTTTATTCACATTAAGAGAATCTCAGATTCACACATGAAAAGATAAAGCAGTATATATATTTCTTCAAGCACAAAGATTACCCTGTAAGCGGAAAAAACTAGAGGTCTTGACCTCTAATTTTCCATGGCTCAACGTCCACATTAGCGGAAGACTCTTCTCTCATCAGTAAGTCTTTGAACCTTCAGGGCTATACTTACATGTAGCTGTTCTTGCGTTCCCTCGTGCATTTTATAAACAGAGGGTTCTCAGGCAGGAAGCAGCCACTAAGGAAATATTAAAAATGTGTTTTGAATACTTTCCCGCTATGGAAGTAAAACTAAAAATACAACTTTTATCTTTATTGATTCCTCTGTTAGAATATGTCAGCTCTCTCAAGAGGCCCTGTTTATCCAAAACCAGGGCATCATTCTAATCCTTAGAAACTTCTTTGATACTTATTTTAATGACTTTGATGAATTATTCAGGATCTGTATGAATATCCCATGTTATTATATAACTCTTAAATGAAACTTATTGTAGCATATCCTGTTAAGTCTATTAATGTAGAGCACCTTTAATGAAGTGACGCTTTGGAACACAACAGGTTATGTCACACAATATTTCCAACATCATTTCCCAAAATAGCTTCCATATAAATGGATGGATTAATCCTCCACTCTTGGTCCTATGAAGCTATTTAGCATAAGGTTAAACTTGTACCAAAGCATTACAGCATTACATTGTCTAGTATCAGCTGGCCACCCCAGAGCCTTGCCTGGAAAAAGCAGTGTGGCTGTGTAGCAAATGCGAACTCAAGGCCTGTCCTGTGCACCTGGGTAAAAGACAGTTACAGAAATGCCTTTTTTCAGGTAAAGATTTAAATTTCAGCGCCTGCTCTAGGAAAGGATCTGCCTTCAGAAGAACAATTAAACGGATGTCAGAACTTGAATACTGCATTTCATATTACCAGAGTAATGGAACCATTACCTGGTAATGGAACCATTACCATTATACCTGGTTCCATTTTCCAGCATATGACTCGTCAGCTCAAAAATATTGTTTGTCCAAAATGCCATGTCATCCACTCCTCCGAGGAAATAATCATGGAACTTCTCCACCAGAAATGCAGATTTACTAGCATACGTTGGAAAAAGCTAAGAGACAAATAACATATTTAGTAAGATGGTTTAGCCTGTCTTCATGCTATATATTCATATTTATAAGGAAAATTAAAAACCAACCTTGGCAACAGCAATTCTTTCTCCATGCCTGCAAAAATAAACAACAATGCTTCAAAGATAAACATGTTTAATCTAATAGTATTAAATTTTTTAAACAGTTCCTTTCAAGGCCTCTGTATTCCTGACTAGGGCAAACACTATGCAGGTCATTAAGAACAAAAACATTTCAAATTTCCTGGTTGGTTGTTAATATACTTCTTAAGAGTTGCAATGTGAGAAGTAACAATCTTTATTTTACTGCAGCCCTTAATTTGAGGCCATTCCCACTGTTTATAAATGCTGCATGACTAGTGGTTATTCACTGAACTAAAGAATATAGCGAGGCTGTTCAGGGTATTCAAAAGCAGATATTGCCAAAGATTAAAAGTCTCTAGAGTTTCAAGGTCCAGCTCCATGTACTATGCTTGGACCTGAAAGGATCCACATAAAGTGTAAGCAAGCCATCTCTTTAGGTATGCATACTACTCCTTCAGTACATGAGAATTGTACTGCTAAGATGTCAAAATGCAACAGTTCTTCAAGACACAGCTGTTCTCTCATAAATACATAAGTATGTTCAACACACAGGTTTGTCAAACAGCTAAGTTGCTGAGTTTGTGTTGTAATTGTGAATTTAACGGTTATGAAACAGTCTCAATTTGTATTTTAGCCTTTCTGAAAACTCAGGTGTTTTATGGTTTAGGAGGGCTAGTAGGAAGTTTGCAGTGCTGGCCCCAATGCCTAAATTTCTGAACGAGCATTTCAAATAGTATTATCATCATTTTCCTATGTGAGTTTCACTTACAAAAACCTAGACAAAGCTACCCAACTCACAGTTCAAGAAACAGCAGGTAAGTACAGTCAGTAATTGTGCCTTCTGTTATGATCTCTCTTCCATAAAATTCCTGATAGATAGCTGCTAAGTCTTTGACAGGCACATACCTAAAAACAAGACTGACGTTTTATAACAAGAGCTTTCAACATCATCTCATTAAATATAATTCAATTTATGTAATAACAACTTTGTAATATGTTAAAGTTCAAAAGATTGTAGAAGAATATCAAGTTGTACAAATACCAGAAAGGCCATGATTGCAGGTACCGTTATTCTCTGTATAATGCCCTCCCCCTGTTTGAGTTCAAAGTCAGAAACCCGTAGAGCGATTCCCCTACGGCTATTGCTGACGGAGTTTCCGTACTCCCTCCACTGGATTCCTGGCTTTGTGATCGCATAGTCTCGGATGATGGCCTCCACTCTTCTCTGTGCCAAATCCACTCCTGGCGAAGGAGAAATTATTCGTCCTTCCTACCTCAACCAGATCTGTGCCAGAGCGCAGATGATGAACTGGCCTTTCTACACCTAGACAAACTCCATCCTACCTGCACAAACAAGACTCAAATCACCTGCTTTATTAGCAGGAAAAAAAAAGGTATATGAGTTTTTAACTTAAATTAAAAACTGCAAGTGAGAAGAAAGTTGTGACTACATGTCTGAAACCGCTTCTTCTTTTTTATGTTTTTAAAACTTGTCTGAGTTCTGCAGCATCTGGAAATCTAAGTGAGATATTGTCGTTGAGTAATTTCAGTAATTGCTTGGACATTCCAGTAAACTTTTTTCAATGATCATTTTATCTATAATTACAGGCAATTCCCCCCTGAGATAAATAATTTAATCTATTCTGCTGTGTTCTTATTGTAAAACTTTTCTTTCATCTGTCCTTCCAGTTTCTCAAGGCAGGGAAGAGTAAATCTGCATATGAGAAACACCAAACTCAGGAAAATTCCAAAAGCAGTTGGGGTTTTGGAAGACAGATAAAGAAAGATAAAGAATGGTAGCATTTTACTAAAACACAGTGAAACCATCATCAATTTTTATTGAGAACATAGAGTAAGCAGAAACAGTTATTCAAGAAGGTAATCACTACTTCAGCCCATTATCTCACCAATCTGGCGCCAGATAACTGAAGTCCAACTCAAACTGACTCAGTACATCTCCTCCTACAGATGGAGGGAAAAAAAAAACAAAACACAACAAACCAAAACCATAAGTACGTATCGTGAACAACAGCGTAATTTCTACGGCTATGCTATGCATGTTCATATGGCAGAACACCACTCCAGCTGCACAAATCCTTCTCATTTAGAATAAATAAATGGTTCACGTGAAAATATACTACATATTTTCTACTTCCAGAGAATAAGAAAAATAACACCACATTTAAAATCACACTAGTGACTCCACTTAACCTCTGGGATCCGTCAGCCTGTGTTTTAGTTTAAATACAAGTTTCCATATGCACTATTGCATCTCCTGAAACACGGAGCATAGAGCATGCAGACAGGGAGAGCAGGGCTTTTCAACCTATGGGAGAGAGCAAGAGTGCATTGTCCATATGACACATTCTCGGCTCCTTCATTCCACAAGATAAGAGCCAGATCCACCCACGGTGATTTTGCAGTGGACTAGTTTATCCCAGTTGGAGGGTCTATGATCAGCAAATAGAAACATTACCAAAATCACCAACATTGTGAGCTTCTGAGTATGAACCATGAAAATCAATCTGGAGAAAGACAAAAACAAGAGAACTCAACCTGCTGATTTTACTCATCCTTCCACACAACCATAAGAGCAAAAATAAATTGTCCAAGCAGCCCAGAAGTTTACAGGTCCCTAACCTGATCAACTTTGCTCTTACAAAGTTTGTGACATCGTGTATCTGAAAATCTTGCCGCATTTTCTTTTCTTTTCCCTCCCCATTAGACTCCAAAGCCAAACTATCAATTATGATAACTGCAGTTAGATCAAGAAATAAAATAATACAAGCTTACTTCTCCCATGGCCTTTAGAAATCCTTGATCGATGCCCAGGCTATGCCAGCTAACATCTGCCACCATATGCGAGGCAATTCCAAACAGGAAAGCCACCAGCTTCTCTGTAGCCTACACAATAACAATACGCTTGTGATAATGCCAATAATTTTTTACCTGTCTCTTTTTAAAAAGAGGTGAGCATGTTATTGTAGTCCATTATACAATGATATAATTGACACACTCCTACAATCTACAGACTTAACAAAGTGCTGGGCACTCATTTCTTGATGCTGGAGAACACATGTTGTGACCTGACTAGCTTTAAGCACTTCTTATGGTCCAAGGCCATAGAGTCACATGGCTGATTTCAGGACAACTCGTGTGCTTCAAGCTAGATGCGTAGTAAAGGGCTTTGCTGGACAGCAGGCACAGTCTTCCACTTCCAAGGAGTGAACCTCCTTAGCCACCACGGATATTGCGCTAAGATATGTGGAAGAGAGAAGGACGTTCCTGTGCAAGTGCTGTTCACTGTGAAAGCACCTGATTAGAGTCCAGGCATGAGGTGACTCATTTTGTTCCTAGGAACAGAAAAGTTATTCGGAATAAATTTATCAGCAGCAGACATTTCACTTCTTCAAAAAAGATTTCTCTGCATTGAATCACTATTAGTACCAGAGACCTTTTAAAAAATTGTAATAGAATCCGTTTTTTGATGAATTTACACTTCCTGAAAGTTAACAGTATCACCAAGGGCCAGTCAAAAGGCAGGCAAACTTCTTTCCATTGCAAAGAATGCATTATCTCAAATGGTGCTGCTCCAAAATTATGATTCTCTTGAGCAGAGTTCAGGAATGACATGGCAAATTCTCCAGTAAGGAAAAAAAAAAAAAAACACCAATATGACCTTTAAAATCATTCTCACTTTTGACAATCTGTTTTTCCTTTTCTCTTAAGTAGCTCATATACCAGAAACAAAAGCAAATCAGGACTAAGCCCAAGATTTCACAAGAAGGAATTCTAAAAGAGGCCTGATTTTCAAGTGGCAAACGCTCAGCCAGATCTGACAATAACATAAGTATCCAAACCCACCAACCATATTTGAAAATCTGGACCTAGGACATGTATCATAAGAATTGGAACACACTGGAGATAATAAATACACGTTATGTGGAAATTATAACTTTTTTGCCTGGTAGAGATGAAAACAGGATTTCAAGTTAAATCTATGGCAGCAGAGATTTTATTTAAAAATATGTGTATTTTTTCTACACTTCCCAAAAGACGAAATTGCAACAAGAAGTGAACACAAAGAAGACGGCAACAAGCAAAGGTGAAGAAGACAGTAGAGAGCAAATTCAAAAGCTAAAGAAATGTTCTTACCTTTTCCCAAGGCTGAGGATAATTCCTTCTGATGTAGTGAATACTTGCATTGAGAAATGGTGACCAATGAGTGTCTTCAGAGACATGACGGAATATTCCTATGGCAACAAAATTATATCCATATGTATTCTTTTTCAAAAGAAACAGGTTTTTCCTCCATCAGCAAACACAGACTTTTACTCAATTCCATATTGTACAGATAATACTTTTCCTGCTCACGTTAGAAGAGCCAAATGAGATGTATTTTTGTAGGATTTGCACTGTCAAAAGAGATACCAGATTTACCTGCCATGATTTTGGTCTGAAGTAGCTGAAAATGTGCCTTCTCTTCCTTTCTCTGTGCCTCTGAGTAGGTTTGATACAGTGAAAAACTGTCTCCCAAGTGGTGAGGATACATACTGCTGACAGAGAAGCTGGTGACTACGGTATGCATCAAATTTTATGGTAAAGAAGCTGATGGACCTAGCAGCCAAACCAAAATCTCATGCTTCAGGACAGGTATCCATTTCCTCAGGGTTCAGGAAGGAAAGGTCATCCTCGTCATCATCCTTTTCAACAGAATGGCAGAGCTGCCAAGGTACAGTCAGGGCAGAAGCAGGGAAGAGGAAGGCAGGAGGAATCTGTTTTTCCTTTGAAACACCAATTATTGCTCTCATGTGGATTTATATAGTACAGATTATGTTGGATCTGACAGTTACTATGCATACAAATTTCTAAATAATTTGCCTTCATAAAGCCAAGGGCAAAGTGGTGCTGACATCACCAAGCAGCACAACTTTTAATTCTCTATCTGTGCAGGTCCTGCTTGGGGAAAGCAGGTAGGCAGGAGATAAATTATTAGGATCATCAAAAGTTGGAGGAAGAGAACGTGTTTCCTCAGAGAGAAGAGTGATACTGCAGAGAAGACTAAGGTATATTAAACCTGAACACTGTCAGAGAAGACCTTGTGGGTTATTTAATCACCTCCTGGCCTCTTGACACTTTTAAGCGCAGCTGAGTTAGAAGAAGTAAAGGGTCTCAGCATGGGCTTTGTCTGACCACAGTTAGACATTTACAGAGTACAGATTTCTACATGGCAGTTAGTCATCTAGACTGTCTGCCTAGACAGGAAACATTGCTTCTGATCCAAAGGCAGACAATTAAGTCAAAGAGGCCAGATCTGTGGAGGCACCAATTTCTTCCCCATTGACTAAAGAAAATGTTGACAAATAGCCCAAGCATAAAATAAGGCGAGATGAATCCCAACTTTACTGAAGGAATGTGAGCTGGAGGCTGCAGATAGACAGGCCCTGGTCACTGGACTGGCATAAGTGGAAGACAAAAACTGTCAGAAACAAAAGATGAGGTACATAGAAATAGTCACGTTAAAGACAGGAACTGGGAAATTCCCAGGAGACTGAGAACGAGGCAAGAAAAGTGGTCCGTCAGGGGACTGAAGTTTGGGGTAAGATGTGAGTAGAGCCAGACAGAAGATCAGGAATGGGAACCTGGTAACTGACAGAAGGCAAACAACAAATCAAATCAAACCACATCAAATGCCAGAGCAGAGGGGCAATCTGGAAGCGCACTGAGCATCACAATGTAACAACAGGGAGGGTCCCCCTTTAGGCAATCTGATGGGTGGCCTACTGCTCGGGATACGTGCCAAGAAATACAATTAACAGAAAGCATTAGCAATCTGTAACGGAGAGAAACAAGGATTTGTTTAATAATAAAGTCTGGCTGCACTGTGTGATTTAAGACTCTAAGCAGAGCATGAGATGAGAAAAGATGGGGAAAGTTTCCTTGAAAAGATAAATAAAATTAGGATTTTGCAGTTGAGGCAGAAAAAACACTGAAATAAATGGAAGCACAAGCATACAAAGTGCTGAAAAATACATAAAAGGTAAGGTAAACAGAACAAAAGATCCTAGGAACTCTTTGAACTTAATGGATTTGAATTTGCATGAGCCACTAAAATAAACGCATCTCCTTCCGTATTTTAGACTCCCTTTAGACTTTCAATAAGATCTCATCAATCCATCGGCCAGATATGCTAATACGAAGCACGCGTCACTGTTTTGTTTCTGATACTTGTATATACATCACAAAGCTTGTTTGGCAGAGGACAGACTGTTTTTGTCCTGTTTGCCAATTGCTCACTACCCTGATTTACCATTTTGGTAGCAAAAATCCCGGACCAAGCCCTACCTGGCTGATTATAGCCCCCGAATTGCTGGGGAAACCAATTACTATCAAGATTTGACCTACCAGAGTTGGAAAATCAGTTGACCAGCTGCCAAGTCAAGACATACTCTTTACAGTTATTGCAACGGAGGGCTCATTTCGTAAACGTAGTCTTTAGATTGGCAAGCACCATAAAGAAGACTGACATTAGTTTCAAACAGTGACCAGTATAAGGCAAGAGACAGTGGAGGCTGTCTTTTGTAAAAGAAAGGCTGAGATGCTATTACCACTTTTTTTTTCACCAAGTCCTAATTCTTTTTTTTTTAATATTCTTTTATCATCTTTGTGACTGATCCAACAAAAACTAATAACCCCTAATACAGAGGTTAGCTCTGTGCTTTCTCCAGGACTTAAAAAGAAAAGACCATTTTCTTCTCTCAGTTTCTCCCCAGGCCAATTCTCAGTAATCTGACCTAATGCGATCAGACAGCATCCTTTTATCAAATTGCCCTACACCTTCAATTTAATAGTTAAATTTACCAAAAAGCTGTTTTCTAATAACATTTCATAATCTATTATTCTGTTACAAAGTTCTACAAAAGAGCTGAAAGTACTAATAAAAATGGTGGACGTTTTGGCAGGAAGGTATTTGTAGCCATACTTCATTTCTTACAACATTACTGTATTTTAACCCCACTAAATTCTATAGCATTTTCATATAACAATAAAGTTAACAATATTGGACTTAAAAATCTTTTCTCACCACTTTTGCAGAGTGAAGGATAGAAGGCATCAGGATAAATGCTCCCAGCCTGAAATGCATCTTGGTGGCTTAGTAACAACTGGGGAAAGGAAAGATGCGGAAGAAAGAAATCAGAATACTATTACATAGCGCAGAAATACAGTTCACTGCCAATATCAGAGATAAAATTTTAATTCTGCTAGCAAGATACCACCATTATCTTGGTAAAATATATTACTTAAGTGTTTCCTCACCCACACACCAACCCTCTAAGTGAAACTAAACTAATCCGTATACACTGTAATTTGAATGACCATTGAGGAAGGTATGATCTCACTTAGGTACTGGTGAGGTCACCTTCTGGAGGTGCTCTCCTCTGGGCTGCTAATTTCCAACCTCCGAATCATACCAACACTATGAATACCAACCAGAAAATGAGTAAATGATATATGTAGTGGACTAAATTCAAAACGTGACTGTCACTTTGTCAGGTTTAATAAATCACCTTTCCAAAAGTCCTCTGTTGATTCTTCTAATGCAATCACCCAAAGAGGGTGTGATTTAAGATAACGGCAAAACATGCAAGTCAAAAAAGATATGTAAACTTCACACAATGTTTACACATTATTATATTATAATTACTGCATATTTGTAATACTATTCAGCAGCAGTCAAATATTGCACAGCAGAAAAGGTAAACATCCGTTCTAGGTACAAAAATTACACACCTATTACTGAGAGCAAATAATAAAGAAAGGCAAGGAGACACAGAGAAACATGCACAAGAAAGGGGGACATAATGAAACAGTAACATGCTTCCTACCTGTCTGTAATTAACATTCCCTTCATGCTTCCTGAAGAATTCCAGAGCTCTATGTGCTGCAAAACAACATATTAAAATGCTGATTTGCAAGTATTGTGGCCAGGCCCATGCTTTGCTAGAAGCATTGTCAAAGATTAGAACATCCCACATTGTCATTTCTAAGCCAAGCGGCACATGCATATGAAACTTAATTTCTCAAAAAAAACCCGTGCGGATTAGAGGGTATTTTTTCTCATCTACGGATCTAATGAATGTCGTTTCCGTGGCACACCTGGGCGCTGCGGTCTCATCAGTCCCTACTCCCCAGCTCCCAAACTGACTAACAAAGATGGAAGTGCCTCAGAGGACAAGAAGGGGGACTCTCTACGTCCACATCTGAGCTATAGCAACGAACCGACACTGATCACATATACAGGGGAGACGGGACAAAATTCTACCTGTAAAGGACCCAGGTGAATGGTATTTAAGCTTCACTGTTGCCCTAACCATTTAAAAAGGTACCTCTGGAATCAGCATGAAAGTTTAACAGCTTGATTAATATTTAACATGTAAGAAAGACAGCAAAAACACAAAGTCAGCAAAGTAAATGCCGTTATTTATTTACTGAACAGAGAGACATTCCTACTGCCAAACTGTTTATTAAGCAAGCATCAAAAGAGATAATGAAACAAAATCACTCAGCACTTTTAATGAAATCTCATTCTAATGTATGTTAAATCCCAGGGGAAATCCATGAAGAGCGTTCTAAAAACACATTTTTAAAAGGAACATCGCCTCTAAATTTATTGAGTTGAAACTACAAACGCATAAGTTATCTTCTTACCATCCCACACAGTTTTACTCATCACTTGAGCTATTTATAAACTAAGACCGATTTCTCCACCGAGACAGCCCAGAATATGCTGAATTTAATTTGATCGATACCAAATGAATTAAACTTGGAAAAAAAAAAAATCTCATTCTGGAATAAGATCTAGACAAAACTGTGAGGGTTGGAATGATCTTTCACTCTGAATTGTACCCACTGTTGTTCTAACCCATCCTTATATAGATACGTTAAAAGGTAAGTTAAGGACCAATCTTGCACCAAAAAAGGAACAACCTTAAAAAGACAGAAAAGTCTATCGTTTTAAGACTCAACGTTTCAACACGTCAAGCTTATAGCTTCCAGGGTCTGAGACTCTCAGTTTGGCAACGTATTTTCTCTGTCTCCCATCCTCCCTGACTGCTTATTCATACGGGCCCGGATTCTGGAGGTTAAACCTTACAGGGAATTTTACTGGTGGACCTTCACAGCTCCACAGCATGCTGTCGATCTGCAGGGAGCCGGGGCAGGAAGAAAAGCCTGCCCACTCAAAGCTGCTTCCAAAAACGGGGCCATGGCAAGTAGGACACCACAAAGCGCTGCCAAGCACACCGAACGTGATCAACATTTTGAACGGGCCGAACTTTCAATCACTTTCAAGTACTTTCAGGAGTCCGTACAGGATAGAATTTGGTGCTACTCTGGGGTGGGTTTTTTTTCCTTTTCCCCCCCTTTCCACAATTCCTTTTTTTCCCTGGAGTATTCAGTGTTTGCATTTGGCAATAGCTTTCAATGTCTTATCTTCGTGGACTTTTATTTGCACACGGATGAAAGGACCGATTTGAGCAGCATCAGAACTGAACCCAGTCATTAACGTCATTTTCAGACAAATGAACAACATTTGTCGTAAATGATGACTCAGTAGTTACATATACGGACTACTCTTTAGACAGCCAAGATCTTTAAATTAAGTATGTATAAGCTTTTTGTAACGGGCTTCCTTGATTAGGATAAAACGGCTGCTTTGGGACAACAGATCCGTAAGATTTTGTTTCTCTTTGCATAGTTCTCGCAAACACACTGTATTCTGTCAGATCTGTTACTTCCAGGTTTTCAGAAGCTCATTTTCAATAATTAGGGTTCTGAGCTTGCAAAAAGACTTATGCATTTGCCTAACTTCAGGCAGTGTGACTTATCCCATTGAATTCTATGGGAGTCTTCACATATCGTTAGGAAAAGCGCCCGTCCGCAGGACACGGCCGGAGGTGCGACGCCTGGTGAGGGCGCGTACCCTCCCTCTCAAGCCACCTCCACGAATCACCTCCGCTTTTAACTGGTTCAGCACCTGAGAAGACCACCTGAATACCGGCCACATCGTAGGTTTTGTCTTCTGTATGGCTAAGCAATAGATTTAGAACCAGCAAATGAGGAACAAAAATAATTAAAACTATCAATTACAATCAGTTACGAGTCAATGTTTCAGAATAATCTCATATGGGCCGAGAGTGCTCTCGCGAGAATCGCTGCAGAAAACAGATTTAAAAGATAACAGCTGCAAATAAGAAATTCAAACCAGAAATATTTCCCCACTGAGATGTTCACTTGGCTCTTTCCTCGACTCTCTACAGATCTAGGCTGTTTCGGCTACACACAAGCACCCACCAGAGAGAGATGCAGAACAAAATCTTCGCTATGTATGCTGGTCACAAATACAAATACAGTATAGTATTTTATCTACTTTATGCAGCTATGACAAACAACTAATACAAAGCTCTGTTGAAAACACAGCTACCAAAAATGATGTGCGCGTTAATCTCTAGTTTAAGTGGAACCGCTCAGCAATTTGCATAACGAGAAGCGTCCCCCCTACTGCTCCCACCACGCTCTACTTGCGTAAGACTTGGCAGGCGCAAGCATTCAGTTACACAACGCCCATATTTCCGAAGACAGAAAAAAGAGGCAATATCACCGATTCAAGCGTCCTACTTATAAGAACAGCAGAGCTCAGGTAGAAACTCCAAAAACAAACTCCACATCTATCCCATGTCGTTCAGCTTGTTAAAATATAAGGTGGAAAGCTCATCGCTTCAATGTTATTTCTTCTTTTTTTTTTTTTAACCCAGCCAAACCTGAATTTATTTTTCTTTGCAAGCAATTCAAAACACAGGAAAATTAACTGTGAACATATCTTACCTATTTCAACGTGTGTTGAAATTCCACTGGGGACACCTCTCTGACAGAGACCGGACAGTACAATCAGCAGAACAGACCCAATGCCCCCCCCCCCCAGCCAGCCATGATGCGGGGACGCTGCCTCACACCGATTTTTGCAAGCCGGGAGCAGGAGGGCTGTAGTGACCTTTGAAATGTAGGCTACGGGACGTGCCCTTCTCTTTCAAACACGTTGTCGACGCAGCAAGTAAAGCACCACCGCCGCATGCCAAAGGCCGTCCCATCCCGACGCCTCTCTTCACCTCACACGAAGCAACTCCTGACAAAGGCAGTCACCTAGAGCTGCGCTCCCCTTCCCACCCCCCTCATGCCGCTGGGCTTTGGGCAGCG